CACAAGTGAAATTGTAAGAGGGAAAGTGCATAACATTTCGAGAAACACTTTGGCAATAGGCTAGATAGATTCCCAGACACAGGCAATACCATAACCTAGTAAACATAAAATATTTGTTTTGAGGCTCTGGCGTTTTTACACAGCTTTTGTAGGTTAATTTTAAGATAAATATTCATTTTACGATAAATATTAAACCTTAACAGAAATAAACGCAAAACAGAATTTAAAATAGAAAATACGTATACATTTTAAAAAGAATGCTTAAAGGGGTCCTATTATGCTCTTTTACAAAGTCTTGATTTTGTTTTGGGGGTGTACTTGAACAGGCTCTCATACTAGGTTGTTCGAAAAACACATTCTTTTTCACATATTTTACATTATTACAACACCTCTCTCCCCAGTCTGGCATGAACGGCTCGAATAGTTCCTGTATCAAATGAAGACCCGCCTTCTGAAATACGAAATGTGCTGTGATTGGTTAGCTGGGCCAGTGTGTGTTGTGATTGGCAGCACATGGCGCCTGGTCAGGAAATGTCATGCCCCTTACCATAGCCGCCTGCGAGCTTCAGTGTAAATATTGCGTCAAAATCAAATCAGTTTGAGCGCGATTTAAACCCGGATGATTGTAACCACTCTAAGTTCGTCTGCCTTGGGAAAGCTAGCGTGTCTCCGACATAGTGATAACACTCGTTGCCTTCTCTAGTGCAGCTCAACCAGGTCTCGTCCCATTCGTCGATATTTGTGATATCACAAATCCCGGAAAATATGCGTTGTAGTCCAAATGAGTCGTTCATTGTAGTTTTTGAAAAGTGATTTCTGTTAAATAAAATATCTCCTTTTGAAGTGGACTTTGAGCTTTGTAACTTTGCAGATATTTTTATGCTCACACAGCAACATTACAGACTAACTAAAGTTGAAAAAGCGAAAACGCATAATAGGACCCCTTTAAGAATAAAAGAACGCTTATGTTTGTCGCTTATGAATGACGTAATGCTGTAACTGAGACCAGCCGACTCTGGTACTCGCGAATGAGAGAAAACCAAAACAATGATAGAAAGTTGACGCTGTGATCAAATTAGAAAACACAACGAACGCATATTACATATATCTTCGCAGTTAGCCATATAAACGTGTATAAACAGCACTGGAAACGACCAAATCATGGCTACCATAGATTCTCTGATGAGCTTGTGAGTAACATAAATTATAGTGCTACTGGACGAGCGTGTAACGCTATTGACAGTATTCATTCTGTTCTTTTTGTAGCATGAATTCCAGATCTTTTGAGTGATGTTTCTCCGCACACAGGTGCGCTTTTAGTGTTGCTCAGCGTGCTGAGGAGTATGAGATCAGGATGTTGCCTGCTGCCGTTAAAGACCGATTATTGCGGATAATGATGTCTTATGGCACGGTCACTGACTCCAACATCAGCCAGGTAAGGCGTCCCCATCGCAAGAGCATTTGTGATGATCATATCCAGTGCTCATGTGTGTGATTTGTGTTTCAGCTCGTGCACAATGGAACTCACACACTGGATCTGCAGAACTGCAAGGTGTCGGACTCTGCGCTTAAACAAATCTACTGCCTACAGTTGAGGACAATCCTGTTAAGAGGCTGTGCAGATATCACTTCTGAGGGTATTGTTGTAGAAATGTTCTTCTTAAATCAAGAACATGGTCAGAGACAGAGTCTTTTAAATTTCTTATTCTTGCAAGAGGGTCAGACAATACAGCAGTGAGCTCCGCCATATGTGTGACAAAAATAAGTGAGCATGCTTCTCTGCTTTTATACCCTTCCCGAAATTCTCAGAATATCCTGTTTTTCCTAAGTAAGGAAGAACAAGCAGGTCATCGTGTCATCTCCTCATATTCAGGCAGAAGCAGGCCTCACACTTGAACACTCATCTAGCACTTCAAAATATCAGAAATATTGCAGTTAATATACGAAGTAAATAATAATAGATTAATTGAATTTTTCCTGCACAGTATTCTTTTCACAAATTAGTGCTGGTTCATTTGTGGTGTGTGGTCATTAGTTGGCAAATTACCTAGTGTTGTTATTGGTAACTAAAACTTATTTTTTAGTAATTGAAAGTTTAAAGTAATAGAATTTAACTAATACTAAAATAGCACTGAAATTACAACAATCAGGTATTAATAAATCAGTTTATAAATATATAAATTGGTGTGTAGGGTAAATAATAACAGTGCCCCTATGGTTAAACCTGAAAATATTAGGGAACTAATTATTAATATTGATGGAATGATGTTAAGGAAACATCAAAGTTTTTTTCTAGTTATGCTCAGCTTTATTTATTAATCAAGATCAACTGGAAAGTTTATTGGTCCCAGAAGAAGTAATAATTGGATATTGATCTGTCTAGAGCTAAATAAATGTATATTTATTCTTTTAAAAACATAATCATAAGAATATTACAGGAATATTACTTTTGATCAATTAATGCTTCCTTTCTGAAATGTATATATATATACTTTTATTCAGAAGGAAAGCATTCAATTGATCAAAAATAAACAAAAATATGAAGCTGCACAACTGTCAACATTAATATTTGTCGTGGCAATTTTCCATTTCAATAAAGGTATGAGACAAAAGTCCTTTGAAGTTTTATTTTCTTGCAAGAAAAGGTGACAGTCATACCATAATCTAAGTTGACTGCAGAGTGTGACAAAGAGGAAACACCCAAACTCAACATTTATACCCTTATCAAATGCGGATGCCTTGATCTCATCCAATCATAATGCATATTCAACATATATCCATTTAATGTGTTCAACTATGTCCTCCAGATGAGTTTCTAAGAATTGAATGCAAATCATTTTCTAAATAGCCAGGACATCTAAGAAACTAAAATAACATATCTGTCTCACACTTGTCTTGCACACACACACATCAAATAGATTTCCTGCTATCTCTCAGCTCGTCGAAAACTCAAGCATACTGAAGCACTGGGAGACAGTCTAAAGAACACTCTTTAATACAGTGACACAAATAATACTAATATTATTAATATTTCAGAGAGAAATAACATTTCCTCCACAATAATTACTGTTTTTAAAATGTTTCTTGAGCATTAAATCAGCATATCAGAATGATTTCTGAAGGGTCATGTGACACAGAAGACTGGAGTAATGATGCCGAAAATTCTGATTTGCATCACAGGAATAAACTACATTGTAAAATATATTCAAACTGAACAGTTGTTTTAAGTCATATTATTACTGTTTTACTGTATTTTTTTACCAAATAAATGTAGTCTTGTTGAACATAAGATATATATATATATACTGAAATAAAAGTGCACTTATTACTTGACTAATAATAACACCGGAAGCAACTGTCAGACCCTCTTTATTATCGTTTCCCCCGTTATCTTAGAATATAAGACCCAAGCATAAATTTTAGGCTGCAATTGATATCTGATTGCACTGTTGGTCAAATGAAATTGTTCAAGACACCAACTTCTGCTGTATTTGTCTTTCTCCCAGGTCTAGAGGTGTTGGCATCCCGCTGCCCTTATCTTCAGGTAGTTGATCTCACGGGCTGCACGGCTGTGACAGATTCAGGGATTCAGGCTCTGGCGCGACACTGCAAATGTTTAGAAGTGATCTCCCTGCGTGGCTGCACTGCTCTCAGTGACAGAGCTCTGCTGGAGCTGGGAGAGAACTGCAGGATGCTGCACAGCATTTACTTCTCTGGGACAGAGGTCATTTACATATAGCATATATACACTAGTGGCCAAAAGTTTGGAATGATTATGACTTTTTAAAATATTTTTGAAAGAAAAATAACCATATATGAATGATTTTCTTCTTTTAAATATTTTTGAAAAAAAAGAAAAAGAAAAATAAGCATATACGAATTATTTCTGTAGGATCATGTGATATTGAGGGCTGTAGTAATTGCTGCAGAAATAGCTTTGCCATCACAGGAATTAATTATATTTTAAAATATATTAAAATAGAAAACAGCTATTTTAGATTTTAATAATATTTTACAGTGTTACTGTTTTTACAGTATTTTTGATTAAATAAATGCAGCCTTAATAAGCATAAAAGACTTCTTTCAAAAACATAAAAATTTTTAATTTTTCCAAATCTTTGATGAGTAGTGTATAAACCAAAATCATAATGCTGCTCTAACTCCTGTTTTAATAAATTGTGAACATTTTGCTTGCGCACATTATTGTTTATTATTTTCACCAAATACTTACTTTTACATTCACACTATTTAAAGGTAACTGATCAAGGGGTCATTGGACTCGCAAATGGAGTTTGTTCACATAGCCTAAAGGTATTGTATACTGATTTCATTTTTTTTCATTAAGACAATTTTAATATTGTATTATTATTTTTAATTAATTATTTACTGTTACAGGAGTTACAGATGATACGATGTCGCAGTTTGACTGATGTGGCAGTGACTGCTGTTCTTGCAAACTGTGCCAACATCAGAATTTTCAATTTCCATGGATGTCCCCTGATTACAGGTAGTCACATGGTCCCTGACATAAAATGCAACATACATTTTGTTGTCCAAAAATGATGTTTCAGTACATCTTTGTCTCTTTTAGATAGATCAAGGGAGGCGCTCCAAAACTTTATTGGCCCCAACAAGATCCAACAAGTGTCTTGGACTGTGTACTGATCACACTGCGGACTGTGACTACGAATCATCTTCAGTACATCAACTACAACACATCAACTCTATTGTCGTAAATGTAATGCACTTATCAAGGAAGATAAGCATCATCCTTGTCAAATTTACTAAGCAAAGCTTAGTAGAAGCATCAGTGTTTGATGAAAAAAAAAAAAGATAAAATCAATGCATTTTTACAGTATTTTCGTGTTTGTAATTTCATTGCATAGTAATGTAATTTAATATTTCTGAATATATTTATGTAAAATTGTTGTTTAACTACTTTTCATTTTCAACGTTTCAACTGTACTATAACACATAATAAATAAAATACATGTATGAAATAACAGTAATCTGCTCCAGAATATGTTCCATTAAACATGTTTGCTTACAGTAAACAGCATCAATTTGATATATTTATGTTAGCATTTTCTTATAATAAGGTTGTATTTACGTCCATAGTTTGCTTATATGTGAATGCTTTAGCTGTTATAGATCAGGTTTGTAGTTGTAGCACCACACTGTGCTATTTGTTAGTCCATAGTTCTCGTCTTTGACCGAGTCGGGCAGCTCAAAGCAAGCCAGTTTATGTAATAATTTTCTGATGTCGTGGCCTTCAAATTGAGCCCGTCCCGGGTCACCAATAAGCACTTGTGTTCCGTGTGTGGTTATACATGTCTGGAGCCACTTATGCAGATGATCAGCCAGATCTTCATCATAGAACATGTCTCCGAGAAGAATGAGGTCCCAGTCATCGGGCTTTGAGCCAATGATGTTGTCTGTCACACAAGGTAAAGGGTCCAAATTGTTCAGTTCACAGTTCATTTTTGTGGCAATGGCAGCAACTGCAATAATAAAACAAAGCACTTTTAATATTATAAACCTTACGTTTGTCAGTCAGTGTGGTGCAACAAACATGCAGGAAGTTGTGTGACAAATAATAAAAGGATAATTTTATAGTTATTATTAATTTATATATATATAGTTTTTCTTAATTTTTATTTCAGTTTTTATTATTTTAGTAAATTTTTAAGTTAAACAATTAAAATGAGAATTTTTTAATTAATGTATGGGTTTAGTTTCAGACTTCGCTTTAGACCCTTATAACTGTGTACGGGTTGGTATTTTAAAAAATAGCAATGGAGTAACCATAAGAAAATGTTTTGAAAGTCATAACTTAAAAAATATATTTATAAATAATAACAATACTTTTAGCACTTTTTACTTAATGGGTACACCTTACACCTTAATGTTTTCCCCCCTATAAAATCAATTATTACAAAATAATAAATTACAAAATCTTATTTTTTTAAATGGTTGCAAATTTTAAAAAGACATTCCACTAGATTTCTTTCAATAATTTATGATAAACTCTGCAAGAAGGAAGATCTATAAGGACGTTTTAGTTTACTCTACAAATTGAACTGAACAAATCACAATAGTTCTTATTCCAGGTATGAGGTGCTGCAGGAACACAAAGCTCACTTGGATCAGTGTCATTGGCAACAACACGGGAAGCTCCAGTGAGTTTGGCAGCAATGGCTGATGCTCCACAACCGCAGCCGAGATCCAGCACCTTTCTGCCTCCAGACACCTCGGGGTTATTTAACAGATACCTGAGAAAACAGTCCCCAGAGCTGCATCGTTAATAAAAACGACAAAATAACGCAGGTAGACGGAACGTATCTTACAGTAACAAACCTAAAATCCACCGTCGCGTTCATTATTACTAATGTTTTGTTAATTGAACACTGTTACCTAGCCAGCGCCTGTCCACCGGGCCAATATATTGCCCAGTACGGATCAGGAAAAGGCCACGATTCAGGTCTCTCCGTCCAGAACCGACAGGTGGGGGTGAAGAGTCTTAAAGAAATCTCTGGGGTCAAACTTTGGGCACTCACTATTTCTGTGTTATCTATAATGAAGTTCTTTATATCATGCTCTGATCTGACGCTCACGTATCGACGCATTAAACAACACATTCCTCTTTGAAATGCGTTTAAAGTGTCCTGACCGCGAAAACACAGGATTGTTCTTCTGTACATGTCTACAACGAATCAAATTTCCTCCGGTTTACGTTTCTTTCACATGATGTGTGTCACGCATGCGCAGACAGGCTTGGCGCATGTGCAACGTCACCGAGGTAATCTCACCAATCAGAGCGCTCAACTGAAAATACATGCTAACATTTCCAAACTTTCTAAACTTTGTACATGTTCTGAATGCATAAACAATTGAAAAAACATCCTACAAAAAGCTTACTTGGAATGAATAACAACAAAAGTAATACTAAAGGATTATGTATTTGCCAATTACCACCCTTTTGGGACATGTTAGCATGGTAATAACATTTTTAAAATGTACTCGTTTAAATTAAACGGCTGTAAACATGAATACAGAAAAAAAGAGAGAGAATAAAAGAAATAATTATCCCTGGTACTATTTCACACAAAACAAGGAATTACCATGGTAATTTGATATATACACCACGATATTACCATAGTCATATGGGAACATGCGTACTTCAAGAAATACTTTTTTAAAAGTGTATTTTAAGTCTGTACCGACCGATTTCAAATAATATATTATATATATATATATATATTATTTTAATAATTTATAGAATTATTAAACAATTACGGATAAACAGATTAAATTCATTTGCATGGAACAATATAGGCTATTCCATTGTTGTTATTGACCGGTAACAGTGTTCTGGCAGGTATATGATAAATCTTCAGCATTGTACATACCTTCCAGAAATAGTCCTGTGAGTCCACAAAATGATTATTTAGTGAAGAGGTGGGCTGGACACACACTCTCTGCATCCACCATAGAGACCTGCTGTCATGGCTTTTCTTTCAACACCATTGCCTGCTCAGTAAGGAAACTGACAGAGTGTCAAGTACTGAGTGTGTATGAAATCAAAACGCAAGGAGGAAAAACAACAATAACCAAGGATACAAAAGGTATGTTATGTAGTTTTGGTGATTGTGTACTAAATTAATAATAGACAGCATTAGTGACACATTTATCGCAATTATAATGAATATTTTCTCTTTTATTATGAAAGAGCAAACACTACAAACCCCTTCTGCCAGATACTGCTTGACTGTCAAGTAACTAAGTTTAAAAAGATTATAGCAACAGATAAACATTAGACATTGTTTCCATGTTGTTGTGCCCCTCTGACATGCTAGGTTCAAACTGTCTGGTTTGTGTGAAATAGTTTTGTGTAAAGGCAGGACAATTTGCAGTTGAGTAACCTACACAGTATCTCTCAACTCACTTTCTAGAGCTCTCGTGGATATGGCCAAGTGGAGAGGAGAAAGAAGAAGCCTTTCACCATCAGGATTCTGGAGTGACCGGGAATGGGACTCTGACCTGAGCCATAGATCTTTCCGGCACACTCTTAGGTCTCTCACTCTCTCGGATCTTGACTTTTGGGATAGTAGATCTCTTTTTAAAGCTCGGGTATGTACAAAGTGAAACTCTGGGGATCAAAACAAATCATTTTTTCATAATCTATTACAAAATTTTAACAAATATGCTGCTTATTTTCAGAAATCTCCAGCATGGAGCTGTGTAGGCTTATCTGGATTGACTGACTGCTCAAAAATCAGCACCAGGTTAGTGTAGTGATGTAGTGCTTTGAAGGAATTGTTCACCCAAAAATGAAAATTTGCAAAAATGTACTCACCCTCAGGCCATCCAAAATGTATAGTTTGTTTCTTCACAGATTTGGAGAAATTTAGCACCACATCACTTGCTCACCAATGGATCCTCTGCAGTGAATGAGTGCCGTCAGAATGAGAGTCCAAACAGCTGATAAAAACATCACAATAATCCACAAGTAATCCACACCACTCCAGTCCATCAATTAATGTCTTGAAGCAAAAAGATGCATGTTTGTAAGAAACAAATCCACCATTACGATATTTGTTAACTTCTGACCAAAACACAAGTCCTCTATCCAAAGTATTGCTTTCTCCAGTGAAAAGTCATCTTGTCTAAATCAGGAGAGAAATATGCACAGACCAAGCACTGTTTACAAGCCAAAACAGTCTAAACAAATATGTCTGTGGATTATGATATGAGAGGACAACAGGGGATGGACGTTTTCACTGGAGGAAGCATTATTATGGATTATGGACTGGTGTTTTGGCTAGAAGCAATGGTTTTAAGTTAATTATTATTATTTTATTTTTTTTTACAAACATGCATCTTTTCACTTCACAAGACGTTAATTGTGTGGATTACTTGTGGATTATTGTGATGTTTTTATCAGCTGTTTGGACTCTCATTCTGACGGCACCCATTCACTGCAGAGGATCCACTATATAATCACATATAATGGTGATATAAGTGATATAATGCTCAATTTCTCCAAATCTGTTCACACGAAGAAACAAACTCATCTACATCTTGGATGGCCTGAGCGTGAGTAAATTTTCAGCGAATTATAACAATTTCAAGTTTAAATAATCATTCTAATTATATGAGAATAGTGAAGTCCCCACACAATGATAACATCACCGAGGAACAATATCATTGGAATCACTTTCAGAATGATTTTTCCCAGCTGATTAATGATAAAAATATTGACATCTCTTTGAACCAGCACTTTTGACAGCCAGAAACACGGGCTCTTTGGGCATGACGAGATGGTCATCTACATCCTGTTTGGCTCCAGAAGGAGCTCCACGAACACACTCTTCTGCTGAGGACTTTGAGCTCAGAGCTGCTCTGGAGGAAAGCAGCATGAGGAGGGCAGAGCTCGTCCAGAGGCTCCGAGAGGCCAGAGGTCACCTGGATGTTCAGACAGACCTTCTGAAAACCAAAGGATCTCAGCTTCAACAAAGCCAGAGCATCTCAAACTTTCTGGAGATGAAGCACAAGGTATGGTTGAAGCAGTCTGAGATCCACAGACTCTGCTGTTGTTTTCAAGGAACCCTCATCGCTGTTGATCTTCCTCCCCCACAGCAGCTGTCTGAAGCAGTGAGTGCTCTTGAACAAGACAAGGAAGCTGCAGAGCTGAGCCGATTTGCGGAAAGCCGCCATCGAGGGGAGTTACATGACAAGTGAGTTATATAGTATTGGTGCTATGTATGGAATCCATACGCTATATGTGACAATTACACAAAACTAACTAATGTTAGTTTAAACAACTAACATTTAATCAACATACAATATTTTCTTTTTTTTGCAAGGACACACTACTACTTAGAACTTTAAAGTATTTCATTTATGCACACATACATTACCATTCAAAAGTTTGGGGTCAGTAAAAATGTTTGTATTTGAAAGAAGATACTCTGACCTCTGACCTCTTTAATAGAAAGCAGCTCCTCCTTCATCAACATGGTTTCCATCTTCTGTTTGTTGGCCTGGCTCTTAGCTTGAGACAGCTCAGAATGCAGCTCACACACCTGCTCAGTGAAGCCCTGTTTGCTCCTCTGCTCCCTCTGCAGCTGCAGATCCAAAGCCTGGATCATCTGATGCAGCTCTGCATAATGGGACAGTCACAAGCCTACCGGTTTTCATCCAAAATATCTTAAATTGTGTTCCGAAGACGAACGAAGCTTTTACGGGTTTGGAACGACATGGGGTAAGTGATTAATGACAAAATTTTCATTTTGGGGTGGAGTAACCCTTTAATTAAATATAATTTTAAATTTCAAACATATTTCATTTAAACATTGAAAGACCAAAATCTATTACAAAATGTACTTGAAGGGGGGAAAAATACATTTAGCAAAATATATTTTGGTAAATGTAATATAAAAAAAAAATAAAAAAATAA